ATTCCCGCCCTTTTCCAGGGCTGTTTGCCAACAATGTACCCTAACCTTTTGACCCTTTCTGTGAGACACTGTGTATTTCATCATCAAAGTAACTTTTGTCTAGCCTAGATAAATTGGGTCTCTCTCTTTTCAATTTATTTATTTATTTATTTATTTTTATTTATTTATTTTTTTGAGACGGAGTTTCTCTCTTGTTACCCAGGCTGGAGTGCAATGGTGCGATCTCGGCTCACCGCAACCTCCGCCTCCCGGGTTCAGGCAATTCTCCTGCCTCAGCCTCCTGAGTGTCTGGGATTACAGGCACATGCCACCATGCCCAGCTAATTTTTTTGTATTTTTAGTAGAGACGGGGTTTCACCATGTTGACCAGGATGGTCTCGATCTCTCGACCTCGTGATCCACCCGCCTCGGCCTCCCAAAGTGCTGGGATTACAGGCTTGAGCCACCACACCCGGCCTCAATTTATTTTTTAACAGCTTTATTGAGATACAATTAACACACCATATGATTCACTCATTTTAATTATACAATTCAAAGTTATATAGTATGTTCACAAGGCTGTTTAACCATCACCACAATCAATTTTAGAACATTTCGGTCACCCTAAAAAGAAACCACATACCCATTTCCTCTCAACCTTCCAGCCTTAGGCAACCACCAATCAATCTACTTTCTGTCTCTACGGATCTGCCCATTCTAAACATTTCATATAAATAGAATAATCAATTATGTGGTCTTTTGTGGTTAGATTCTTTCACATTGGATTCTTTTCTTTTTTTCCTAAATTTAATTTTATTTTATTTTAAGTTCTGGGATGCATGTGCAAGATGTGCAGGTTACACAGGTAAATATGTGCCCATGCCAGTTTGCTGCACCTATCAACCCATCACCAAGGTATTAAGCCCTGCCTGCATTAGCTATTTATCCTGATGCTCTCCCTCCCCCTGCCCCCAACAATAGTCCCCAGTGTGTTGTTCCCCTCCCTGTGTCCACGTTCTCATTGTTCAGCTCCCACTTATAAGTGAGAACATGTGGTGCTTGATTTTCCATTCCTACATTAGTTTGCTGAGGATAATTGCTTTTCCATCTGTGCCCCTGCAAAGCACATGATCTAATTTCTTTCTGTGGCTGTATAGCATTCCATGGTGTATATGTACCACATCTTGTTTATCCAGTCTATCACTGATGGGCATTTGGGTTGATTGCATGCTTTTGCTATTGCGAATAGTGCTGCAATGAACATACACGTGCATGTATATTTATAATAGAATGATTTCTATTCTTTTGCGTATATATTGGGTCTCTCTTGATGGCAAAGAGCCTGAATTGATACAAGGGTGTTTGTGCTAATCTTTTAAGTTTGCTTGTTTGTTACATATGTATTGCACGGAGGGCCAGACAGACACTTTCTAAGTGCATAATAAACATTAACTCACAATAATGTTATCCTCACAATAACCAGTGAGCTATTTACTGCTAGTGTCTCCATTTTACAGATAAAACAGTACAGGGGAAGGATGAGTAGCTTGCCCAAGGACACACTGCCAGCAAGTGGAGAAGTGCAGGAGCTGGGCTTCTGCTTACATGAGCTAACATCAGAGGCTGTGTTCTTAAATGCTAGCCTGTGCTGCCTCTCAGTACAAATTAGTATGCTTACCAGACCAAAAATAACTGAAGAGCCAACTGTCATTCAGTTTTGAGAAGGGATGGCATGGATGATGTAGAGCTGTATTTACTAATGTGACATTGTTGATTAGCACATCCTATTCATTAAGATGGTATACCCACTGACCCACTGCCTCCCCACTCCCTGCCTCTCAAACACACAACCACATTACCAAGCCTAGAATCACTACCAGGATGAGTCTCGTAACCTGGGGAGGCCCACCAAGCTCTGGGTTCCTTAGTGGTAGGAGGTATGATCTGCAATAGCTTGGAGCTTTGGGGGGGATGCTCTGACAGGCTCCAGACCATTGAACCCCTGAAAGCTTACCTATAAGGCACATCTCTGAATCTTTGTCAAGTTTCTCTCCCATCACTTGCAGTGTTTGTGACTTAATAGGTAATCCAGAATAGTCAACATTTTTCACTTATCAGGCCCACGAACATACTGTCATCAATACAGTGGACCAATGTAATGTATTGCAGTGTCCAGAAAGGCTGTATCGCAACACAGAGCAGGATTCACCTTGCCCTGGAGCAAGACCGTAAAGATATATACTGCTGTCCAATCCTTGAGAATGGAAATTGCTTCCTTTTTTTTTTTTTTTTTTTTTTTTTTTGAGACAGAGACTCACACTGTCTCCCAGGTTGGAATGCAATGGCATGATCTCGGCTCACTGCCACCTCTGTCTCCCGGGTTCAAGCAATTCTCCTGCCTCAGCCTCCCAAGTAGCTGGGATTGCAGGTGCCCACTACTGTGCTGGGCCAAGAATGTGAAGTGCTTCTCAAACTGCATCCTGCTGTATCCTTCAAAATAGCATTTCCATATTAATAGTTGCATATCACTTGCTAAGGCTGTGCTCACCTAATATAATAAAGATACCATGTTTGGCAAAGCAACTGTAATTGGGGCTACTCCTTGGTTAAGTTTCTAGTAGTTGTTTAGTGGCACGAACCACCTAGCTTTCCCAGAGGGCAGACTGTTGAATTAAAATGGAGGTGTAACTGGGATAACAACCCCTGCCCCCTTCAAGTCTTTGTAGGTGTCATTAATCTCTATCATAGCCCAAGAATGTGATACTACTTTTAACTTACCTTTTTTCATCATGAAACTTCAGTTTGAGAGCCTTTTGCTTGGCCTTCCCTAAGACAGTCATTGTTATTTCATGGCTTAGGAAGCCACAGGTTAAGGAACCAGGTCAGTCAACTGCTATGTATTATGATGTATGCATGAATGTATATCCTGATTATACATTCAGGCACAGGGGAAATGATTGCTGGGTGGCTCTGTGGATCCAGAGGACCCATTGTGAGATGGACACTACCTGACCTCCACCTACTCTACTCTAACACGGGCTACAATAGTGCTTTGAGTCCTCGGGGATTAGCATCAACTCTGACATCGTACTCAACATCCGTTGAAAGATCTGTGTATTTTCTTCTCCCCAGCATGTGAGTTACTTGGCCATAGAGCCCTCCTTTGAAAATTTGAGGGAATCAGTGCTGTGCACACTTACAAGGTTCTTCCTTATGAGAAATTATCCTCATTTCCATCAGTGGGTTCTGGATTTCGCAGAGAACTGGCTGAGGTTTGGAAGCTGGGCAAGGGGTCTAGACTTTACCTTTAGATAGCTGACTTCAGCATTCTGCTCATCTATTTTTAATCTCTTTTGATTATATATCTAAAGCAATATCTATCTTGCCTGTAGGAACAGCATATCCTACTAGCTATCTTCAGGGACACCTACAGGTGTCACTCTAATGTTGATGCCCCTTAGGGAAATTACTTTAACTTGCCCTCACAGTTAAATTCTGCCACTTGGCCTCTGTTATTCTGGAATTCTACTGTTTTGCTCATTACTGGGAGACCCAGTTCTGTATAACATCCCTAGCACTGCTCCAGCCTGCAGGGGACAGCTCCCACTGACCTTCTCAAGGATGTGGTGCCCCTCAGCAGTGCATTCCTTCTTACCTTAGTTAGTGTCTGTGCCCTCTGGAGGAGCTCAGTCCCCTGAAGGATGGATTCTCCAGCTGTAGAGTGCAGCGCCATTCTAGCACGCCAGCGTCCCTATCCCTCAGACCCCTTTTTCCAGACTCTAACCCAGTAGTTCTGGTATCTCTGCTTCCAGTTATTTACTGTGTACCATGGCTTATACTAAGTCTCTAGGTGCCATCCAGGAGCATATCAGAATCATCACCTTTGGCCCTTGCTAGGGTAACTAATCTCTGTGGTAGAGAAGCATGCCCCTTTATCAATAATTCTCACTTATCTGGTTTCATATTTTCCCTTCCTGGACCAGGATCCCCTCCCAAACACAATCTCCTCGCTCCTGCTGATGCACACTGGCCAGTCCTACAGCTGCTTCAGAGGACACGCGTGCTCTTCACTTTGCAGCCTGGCCCAGGACCTTCCGCTTGCATTGTCCTGAGCGGTATCAACATAGTCTTCATTCCAGAAAAATTGGGAGTTGGGTGGGGGCGGTAGCTCTCTCTTCCAAAAAGGGGCAGAAAGACTTGTCTGCAAACCCAGTAGGTTCAGGGGGCATCTGGAGTTTAAACTTCTTATGTACATCTACCTAGATAGTCCAATATTGAGTTTTAGGGCCTTAACTTTGGCATGAGATACCACCCTGAGATTAGAATTCAGTCCCTGAGCCCTGCATTCAGTCTTCTATAAAGTTCTGTGATTCATAAAATCAGGGCCTGTATCAGACCTTCCTTGCTGTCTGCTTCCAGCTGCAGGCATGAGGGTCTCTTCTCTTTAGGGTGGTGATGAATAGGTGTAAGCCTGTCATTTACTCTTTTCAAGACATTAATGGAACTTAGCAATAGCCACCAAAACCCATACTTATTATAGTTACTTTTCCTCACTTCTTAAATGCCAATTGTACTAGCTATTTTACCTCTTCACCTATAGCTCATCCAGTTAACTACAGGTGAAAGTATGGGCAACTGCTCAGTGATAGCACCCCTGGGACTGTCCATATTCCACCCAGCACCATTGGGCTAGACAGTGATCCAACTCCAGAGTCCTGTCCTCAGAGCCTGCTTCCTAGGTCATTCCCTTAGGTTGCTTTCCTCAGAGGCAGATTCTGGGATGAAGTCCCTTAACCAGTAGATTTATGGTGAGCATTCACTCACAAGGGAGTAGGGGAAGCAGCATTGTGTGACCAAAAGCTAAGCCTGGATGTTGCCACAGCTGGAGACTAGCTCCAGCCTGATTCCTGGGAGCACAGAGTAGCCGCACACCACATCCCTGGTCCTGCTTTGAGGCAAGGGGCTCAGCCTCAGGCCATGAGGTGTCACCTCTAGGTGAAGCTGGTTCCATTAGACCCAGGGTAATAATCTGGAGACTGCTGGCAATAGCAGCCACCACTCAGCAGCTGTGGATGAAAAGACCTGGCCAGAAGAGGAGATGGTGCCAGGATACCAACAGCTTTGCAGGGGAGTGAGAAATGGCTTCCCTCTACTTTGCTAGGTTTGTTGGCTGAGCTATGAATAAATTAAATTGCCATAAGTAGATTAACAGGAGGATAAAAATTTTAATAATATTTGTTTGCACAGGAGACCCATGAAATACAAGACTCCAAGAAGGGTCAGATGATTCACCATCTTGAGCTATCGAAAAGAATGGGGCCCGGGCTTCTGCAGGGAGGTGGCCAGACAAGTGGGAGGGGGAAAGGAAGAAGTGTGTCCTGAATAAAGCTTGTCTGGTTTTTCAGATAAAAGGTCTTGTGAGTAATAAATGTCTGGAGCAGCCCTCAGGAGAAGAGGTGACTGTCTGTCTGTGCTGGTGTCACTTCCCACCTCCTTCCCTGTAGTCCCAGTTACCCTTCCCTGGCTGATGAGATTGTTGGCGATGGGATTCATGATGATTGAATTTCCTTTGGAGGATTCGTCTTTGGGCAGATGAGGGAGGCTCAGAGAAAAGCCTCTCCCTGCATGTGCTGTGTCCGAGTGCCCTCAGTTTGAAGTAAGTGGCATATTTTGGGGTACTACTTGCTGAACGCCTTCAGCATCCACTAAACCAGTTAATTAATCCCATTTGTTTCCTGAATAGCAAACACTTCCTTCAAATTCTTCTCAAATTCAGCTTCCAGTCGAAGTCCCATTTGGCCAAAATCCTTGTACTAGATAAAAATAAATAAAGACAAAAACAAAGTTCCCCATGATTAGTGTCATTAGACACCTTTCAACTGAGAATGATCAGGACTCTTGTCTTTAAAAAATAAAGTACTGTAAGTTGACAATTTATAATGGTATATATCTTGGAGTATAAAGTAATGTTGTGATTTATGACTGCTACGTGGAATAATCAAATCAAACTAATTAACATATCCATCACCTCAAATAGTTATCATTTTTTTGTGGTGAGAACATTTGAAACTCTCTTAACAATGTTGAAATGTGAAATACACTACATTGTTAAGTATACGACTCTTGTCTTAAACACGCTAAGTTACATTAACCAGGTTAAACTTGAAACCTCATGCAGCTAAGAGTAACTTCTGTTTTTTACCAGCATGATTCTTTCTTTTTAACAGAACAGAAAAGTGAAGTTATTTTCATAGTTGGGATTATTGCTTATTTGGCTTCAGTTGCTTATTTCAGTGGGTTAGAAAAGTAATCTATGCTCTTTCACCAATTTAGATAGTGGAAGGGTATAAGGTAAGATCACTAATCTCTTCCTTTCTCCATCACTTCTACTCCTTGCAGGCAATCCCTGTTAACCATGTGGTCTAGTCACATGCAAAGGAATCTGGAGTTTGGGATTCCCGAGATTGAAGGCAGATAAGAAACACAATACCACTTTAAGATGAAATTCTTCTCTTTATATGCTGCAGGAGACAGGACTCAATTGCTCTCTCTGAGTCCCTGTCACCTTGAGGCAGGTGGGGGATGAGCTCTCAGGAACCTGGAGCTCTGGTTGCAGGGACGACTTTTGACTCACTGTTACTTTGCTATGATGAGCTAAGACCAGAACTGAAAAAAATCCCTCACTTTCAGAACCCTTGCTTGTGCAAGCTTATTATAGGATGAGGGAGATTAAAATTTTCCAGGCACCAGAAAATGAGGGGAAGAATGGAAAGAAACCAAATGGAAGCAGGAAGAGCCACCTACCTTGTATGATGCCCTGTGGTTCTGGAAGATGAGGCGCATGTCTCGTACAAACCCCTCCACATGGGAATAATCGTGCTCATTCAGCCTCTTCTTGATTTTATCCAACCACATGGGCTCCTTCAGGCCTTGACACGCCTCTCTAATCTGGTGACAAAAATACCAGTGGGAAGGATACCAGCACAGTTCAATCTCTACCTTCTGTGGTGTCCCATGAAATCCAGCAGAAATACAACAAAGTGAAGGTAACTAATGATGGCTTGTGCTCTTGCTCCACGGGACTAAGATCACAAATCTCACAAGTGCCCATTTCAGGCAATGTCATGGCAGCCTGTAATCATGGGTTGCTGTTGTTACTTACATAATAATAATATGGAATCTTGGCAAAAAAGGAGCTCTCAGAACAGCAATAGACTTTCAAGAGGAGGAATTCACATTTCTGCAAAAGAAAGAGGCCATAAATGAAAAGCAGCATGGAGAGAGTGAGCCCACATGCCTGTCCAGACAGAGCACATGACTCACACCCTTCTTCCACAAGTTTCTCTAACGTGTGTGGCTCTTAGAAACAGACATGTCGTGGCTGAGTTATTTTTTCTGCAAACAAGTTGTAGTGGCCTATCAGTGCAATTGAAGTGTGGCTCTGAAGAGCACACTTTTGGTGCATTCCTCTGATCCTCTGAGTGTTCCTGCTTCTCACATGTGAGGGGAAAGGAGAAGGCTTGGGCATTGCATCTGACTCACCAACTGTTCCTCAGGGCACATCTGCCTCTCCAGGACCTCAGATTCCTGACAGCACTGTTGGCTTCCTGAAGACTCCTTCATCCTGCAGAAGATGCAGCTCCACGGGGTCCTGAGAGATTGAACTTAAGTGAGCAGAGGGCAGGGACCCTGGAAATGGCCACCATTTTGTGGCTGCTACTGTCTTCCTTCAGGAATGGCTGATGGGCTCAGCTATGGGGGGCAGGAGAACACCTCTCAGAGTATCCAAGAACTGCACATGGGGTCTCCAGTCATTGGCCTTTCCCTCACATTACTGGTAGCAGCAGGCGGGAAGCCTAAGGAAGGTGGTGTCACTGTGAGTGTGGCTCTCCTTTTCCTGTCTGAGCTGCTGGGAGCACAAGGAGCCCTGCCTGCCAGGCTTGAGTTTCAGAAACCGGGCTTTCAGCTCCAGGGACCTCGCACCTCCATCAACCAAATGAGACCATGCCACTTGTCTTGTATGAATAAGCACAAAATATAAACAACTGGTGTTTCTTGTCCCAAGTCTCCTTGGACAGGGAGACCTTGCTGCAAAACTTGAAGGAAAGGACAATACCAGTATATAGGCAAAGGGTCCCCAACACTGGCCTCAGCATACCAGAGGAGGTGTCCCTGAGAACAGAGAACGTTAACCTCCTGCTGCCAGCGTCTCCCACTGCTCTCTGGATCACACTGCTGGGTCCCAGTACCCAAGGAACCTGCTCCTTCCCCAGCTAAACACAAGCAGGCACTCTGCTGGGGAGAGCGCATGGCAGGTGGAAGGGTCCCTTAAAGGACGAAAGAGAGGCGCCTGCATGTCACTCACTTCTCAGTTTCCACAGGTGGGATGTGGCAGTCCTCATGGAAGACTCTTGAACAAGTGTCACAACAGAACAGCTTCCCTCCTTCCCGGCAAACCTCACACTCATCCACGTTTCTCATCTAGAAGGTAAAACAGTGTCCACGTCACAGGGATCTGCAAGATTCAGGAAGGCCACCCTTCTGGCCATCTAGAACACTCTTACCTTTGCGTGAACCTGCGTGGACAGGCATTTGCTTCTCACTGGGATGTAAAGGAAAAGCATGGCCTGGAAATTTCAGAACAAAGCCTAGTCTGCAGTGAAGTTCAGGAGGAAGGGGTATGTGTCAGAATAAAATGTTTCCTTATGAAACCAGAGACTGTAACACAGAAAGACTAGTTACAAAGCAAGAGGATGATTTTACTTGGAATCTGAATAACTGTATTATGCTGCAGATAAAATCAGGTTTTGAAGTAAAGTGTTAAATCCATTTGCCTATACTACAAATCAGCTCATGAAAGGGAGACCTAGAGAATTACATATGATAGAATAAGCTTCTGAGATATTACTTTTCATATTCTTGGCCATAAGTTCCCCAGGAGTTGAAGAGATGGCCTAGTTAGGGGTTCCTGGACTGTAGGTTCTGTGCCTGAAGGGCTGTGCACCTACCTCTGAGGGGGAAGGACCATAGGTGCAGATGACTAGGGGGACCCTGGGAAGCACAGAGCTCTTTGGCTCTGGTGTAGATCCCCCATGACTTAGCTAATTTGGATTGGAAGGTGTGAAGGTGTCATTTCTAATGACCAAGCAACCATACGGTGTTGAAGATGGAGGCCCTACCCTCATCTCCTGGGCCCATAAAAGAGCTGGTGCTATGTTCTTTTTTTTTAATTTTAAAGAGAATTTTGATTTTAATATAATATGTATACATGGTAAACATTCAAAGAAAATGAAAAATATAAACAATGAAAAGTAAGACTCGCATGCTTGGGGCTTCCAAATCTCTTTCCTTTTCACCAGAGGGAGACAGTAATATGTTTCTTAGGAATCCTTCCAGTAATAGTTTATGCATGGATAAGAATATATATATATATATATAAATTTTACTAAAAGACAAAATCAAATGTTAATGTACCCTTCTCCTTTTTTAACTTAATATTTTGGAGACTGTTCCATATTACCATGTAGATATGCCTTACTGCTGTTAGGTTGCATTATTTTCTACCACCTAGATTTCCTTGAGTTTAATGAAAAAAGAATTTTTAGATTATATATAATAGATCAATTCTAAAAATACATTTCATGAAATGTATTTTTAGAATTGATCTATTTTTCATGTATTTTTAGAATTGATCTATTATACTTGTACGTGTTTTGGAGATACAGGTGATATTTTGATACATGTATACAATGTGTAATGATCAAATCAGCATAGGTAGGATAGCCATCACTTCAAGCATTTACCTTTCCTTTGTGTTAAAACATTACAATTATTATCTTTTAGCAGTTTTGAAACATACAATAAATTACTAACTATACTTTTCCTACTTATTTCTAAGACTAGGACTTATTTCTCCTACCTTACTGTATTTTTGTACGCATTAATCACCCTCTATTCTTCCCCTACCCCTACCCTTTCCAGCCTCTGGTATCCACCATTCTATTCACTACTTCCATGAGATCTACTTGTTAAGCTCCCAAACATGAGTAAGAATCATGTAATATATGTCATTTATTTCACTTAACATATTAACCTCCAGTTCCTCAAACATGAGTGAGAACATGTAATATTTCTCTTTCTGTGCTTGATTTATTTCACTTCACATAATAACTTCCAGTTCCATCCATGTTTCTGCAAATGACAGGATTTTATTCCTTTTTTGTGGCTGAATAATAGTCCACTGTGTGTGTGTGCATATATATCACATTGGAGATTTTATATATATACACATATATATATATATAGATATGTATATACATATTATATATCATGTATGAATGAATATATATATATATACATAGATATTTTATATCTATATATAGATATTTTATATCTTCTATATATAGATATTTTATATAGATATTTTGGCTTGCTGGGCTCTGTGAATGTGGGATTCACTGAACTAGATGGTTCGGCTCCCTTTGGCCCCACTTCCAGTGGAGTGAATGGTCCTGTCTCACTGGCATTCCAGGCAGCACTGGAGTATGAAAAACAAACAAACAAACTTCTGCAGCTAGCTCGCTGTGTGTCCAAATGGCTGCCCAGCTTTCGTGCTTGAAAGCTAGGGCCCTGGTTGCATAGGCACTCAAGGGAATCTCCTTGTCTGTGGTATGTGAAGACTATGGGAAAAGCATAGTATCTGGGCCGATAGTGCACTGCTCCTTATGGCATAGTCCCTTGCAGCTTCCCTTGGCTAGGGGAGGGAGCTCCCTGACTGCCTTGCACTTCCCAGGTGAGGCAATGCCCCACCCTGCTTCGGCTCACCCTCCATGGACTGTACCCACTGTCTAGTAAGTCCCAGTGAGATGAACCGTGTACCTCAGTTGGAAATGCAGAACTGACTCGCTGTCTGCAGTTGATCTCGCTTGGAGCTACAGATCAGAGCTGTTTGTATTTGGCCATGTTGCCAGGTCCCTCTTGGTGCTTTGTTCTATAAAAATAATGATAAATCAACTAATTCTACATTTCTCACCAGTCTCAATATGTGAGACCTTTGGCCAGATTTAATTTCATTTGGAGAAGTTAAAAGATGACAGGATTTGTGTCCACATGTTGTGGAGTAAATCTCAGTCATTAAAAACCAACAGAATTTATAGAGCAAATACAGAGACCAATACACGTTTGCTGTATTGTAGACAAATACATGTGTATTCACGACAAAGAACCAGTCTGTGTCTGAGCCTTTTGTCACTCAAGGGAAAAGTGCTACAAGGACTATAATTACAGTTCAATATTATGTGCAGCCTGGACATCTGGTGACACTGGGAGGGCCCAGAATGGCCTAATCTACAAGTTCTCTCCAAGCTCTGCTGCTGCAGATAAGGTTTCCTACCAACACTTCCGATCAAGAGGACCACTTGCAAGTTCTGCTTATTTTTGAATAGCTGATTTCATTTCCCTCCCAGCCATGGAATTCTTCAAACAAGCCAATCACCTTCTCCCTCTGGAAGCAGGGGACAGCCCACCCTCCAGAGCCACTGGCTGTTCCCTCTGTTCCTGAGCACAGCCCCCACATGGTCCTGTATAGAGTGCCTACAGGCTCTTTTTGCTGCTTCTTCTACTTTTCTATTTTAACCGGCTCTCTAAATTCATTTCAGCTCGAGGTTAGGTGAAATCCTTCTCTTGTGATCTGGATTTTCAGGTTCTTTAGTGAGGCTGTGTGTTCAGAGATGGACTTTCTCCTTCTCACACTTTGAGAACTCAAGAGTTTGTTGGCTCTCTCACAGAGTTTGCAGTGGCAAGCCACTTCTCTGAAAGGGTCTGTGAATTCCTTGTTTCGCTGAGATGTTCCTGTGGTGATTCTTGTAGCAAAAGTTCATTATGTGAGTCTCAACACACTGTTCTGTCCATCTGAGTTGGAGGTGGAAATTAGTCCTGCCTCCTAGCTGCCATTTTGTTTCTCTAAGCCCATATCTGCTTATGAAGAGATTTGATTTCCCCAGTTCTTTGCTTGTTGGCTTGGCTGTACATTAGACTCATCTCAGGAAAAAAAAAAATTCTAATGTCCTGAGCCCAACACCAGAGATTCTGAATAATGGGTCAGGGTGGAGGCACAGGCACTGGTGTTCTTCTTTAGGTGGCAGAATGGGTGGTTCTATGTAACAGAATCAACTGGGGATCTTTAAAAAAAAAATCCTAATGTTCAAATCATACAGAGCACAGACTGATTAATTTAGAATTTTCCTAGAAGTGGGGTCCAGTCAACCACATTTTTAAAAGCTCTTCAAGTGATTCTAGGGTGTGGGACAATTTGAGATTCAACCTGAGCAAAGTCTGGTTATGGAGGCATAGGGATATTATAAGTCCATGTTGGTACTGGCCTTGGAAAATGTATTAACAGGGTTGACCATGCCTTTACTGGAACCATTTCCCTCTTCTCCCCACACTCATCTGGTTGTGGGCTGTGAGACCTAAACCTCCATGTCTAGCCCATACAAAATCAGCCACACAGACACTGACCTCCAGGGCTGTTTTACCTGTTCATTAGTCCCTGAATTGGCTGGGTATCAAAATCAGAGTGAGTAAGACCTAAATCTTGTCAGAGGATTGCTTTCGAGGTAAGGTATTTATAAAACTATTTGCTTATCCCTCTTCTGTTAAATATCATGTGTCAGTATTATTGCATGATATTCTATGTAAGTGCTGCCCCTGGGAGTTGTGCAAGAAGGTGACCCTGCCTAAATAGACATTTCACTGCAATGAAAATGAGCAACCCAGAATTTCATTTAGAGGAGACTCATGCATAATTTCAGCAGAACCCAAAGCAGGTAACCGTATAGCAAATAGAGAATAGATGGGGCCCATGGGATCGGAAGGTTTGCATAGCACTGAGCACCAGATAAGCAGCTAAGTAAAAACGCCTCATGATTTGCTAGGTCATGATGGTTTCAGTCCTAACCAGCTCAGCACCCTAATCGCTTCCCTGAGCCATTCCTTCACTGGACTAATGACAGGCTCCACACCTTGAACATAATAGCTTGGGCTAGCCTGTTCCTTCTGGCTGATGCTTAAGGCCATCTTTAGCTCTACCTGCAACTTGGAGTGCATTTCTGGGATTTTCCCTTTCATACACTCCACTTACTTGAAAATGTGACGATAACTTGCTCTTATCCTCTCACATTTGACCCTTTCCCCTAATCACCAGGCCAGCCTTACCCGTTGCCACTTCAAGCTCTGTCTCTAGAGACCTCAGGGGCCCTATACTCACTTTCCAGGGGAAATAAGGACTTCCACTGAAGCAGATGGAAAGGGTTCTTTCACAGAGAGACAGCTAAGGCCTGGGCACATCTACCTGGCTTGGGGGATACATCTGGTATTCTTTGCTCTTCACACACATCAACATACTCCAACTGAACATGCTCCAGGGAACAGCAGTCATGACACAGAACATACGCCTGGAGAAAGGAGTGGGGCATTCTGTGGGTCATAGTTCAGAATTTGTACTTACACAAGGGTCAACTGAAGTATTGTGAGTCTTCAGTATTCTCTGCCAAAAACAACAGCAACAAAAAGCAGAAAGATTGATTTACAATATGGAATGCATTGTTTCTGTCTATCACTTATTTAAATAGTCATCTTTGAAGGGATTCAGGAACCAGTTGTAAGCAGGCTGGGGTGGCTCCAGTGCTTGAAGTTCCTAAGTAAGCAAACTGAAACCTGGTGTAAACAGTAAAATGAAACTAGAGACTTTACCCACTAGAATCCGCCATCTAACTTCTGATTAGCATCTTTCCATGATAACTCATTAATATAGTTTCTCTGTCTTACTCCTGTGTTGGCCTCACTGTCTGGACTGCTGCAGAAGAGCTCTCTGAACTTCTCCTTGTTCTGAGTACTGCCCAATTCGTGACTTGCTCTTTGCTCCAATAAATACTATTAAATTTATTTCGTCTAAAGTTTTAGTTTTTAAAATAGTCTTCCTTTTACCTCACATCTGATTTTATGGACCTACATATCTACTGAGAGAATGAAAAGTGCCCAAGTATTACCGTTCAGCCCAACCCAAGTCCCATTACCTGCAGGGAGTCTGGACCTAGTTTGCAAAGGCCAAGTCAGAGAAACTCTACTTGTCCTCTTACTCCAAGGGGCCCTCAGTCATATCTCCTAAACTTGACCTTTGTGTCATCCCACCCAGAGGAGCTGCAATAATAATCAGGCTGAGGACTCATCCCCCACAGCCTCCAGGGACCTAGGGCCCAGAGTCCTGGAGGCCATGCAAGTGTCCCAGAGAAGAAGAACACTGCTTTCTCCAGCCCCTCTAGGGACACAGCCCTGGTGATAAAATGCCTCCAAGTTCCTCTGTGCTGCAGTTCTTCTTCCTGAAAGTCTCCTGCTCTCTCCTATTCAAATCACAAGGTGTCAGATTGATTGACTTTTAAGAGGTAACCTACTAGATTTATTTAGATTGCTTTTGGGTATCCATTGCATGATTTGGCATCCTTTCCTTCTGGGACACAGGCAGCCACAACTTTTGTCTCTAGCCCATGGCACAGAGGCCATAAACAAGTGTGATCCAAAGACAAGCATCTGAGAGGTGACCTTGTCACTCACTGCCTCTCTGATTAGCCTAGAATCTCCCACCCACGCCAATTTGTAATTCATCTATGTTTACAATATGAAACTACCATTTATTTATTTATTTATTTATTTTATTTATTTATTTTGCAGGGGTTCACTCTGTCACCCAGGCTGGAGTGTTATGATGAAATCATCGCTCCCTATAGCCTTGACCTCCCAGGCTCAAGTGATCCTCCCACCTCAGCCTCCTGAGTAGGTGGGACTATAGGTGTGACCACAATGCCTAGGTTTTTTTTTTTTTTTTTTTTTTTTTTTTTTTTTTTGTAGAGGTGGTATCTCACATTGTTGTCCAGGTTGGTCTCAAATTTCTGAGCTCAAGTCAGCCTTTCAAAATGCTGACATTATAGGCTCAAGACATCGTACCTGGCCTGAAATGATTTTTGAGATCAATCTTCTGTAATGGCCATTGGAATTTAGCATGTGTTTGGTAAGTATATGTTGAATGGGTGAATAAATGAATATTGTTTCAGGAGTTCGAGACCAAGCTGCCCAATGTTGTGAAACCCCGTCTCTATTAAAAATACAAAAAATTAGCCAGGCGTGGTGATAGGCACCTGTAATCCCAGCTACTAGGGAGGCTGAGGCAGGACAATCTCTTGAACCCGGGAGGCAGAGATTGCGGTGAGCCGAGATGGTGCCACTGTACTCCAACCTGAATGATAAGAGCAAAACTCCATCTCAAAAAAAAAGAAATTACTGGAGTCTCTTAAGCAAACATTAGCACACAATTATTCTGGGTGAGTATATCAGATTGTTTTACAACACCTCAGCTGCCAACAAAAGGTTTATGTGGCCCTTGTCATAAGTCTGAGCATAGATGCTATCATGTGGCACTGATAGTGACACTGAAGTTTCCAGAAGCCAAGTGGCTCTACTAGCAAGAGAAGCTCTGAGAGGCACAGAGGATCCATGGAGTTTGTAATGGATCCTAGATCTGCCACTTAAGCGACCTCCTGTTCTCTCCACGAGGAAACACAGAATATGAAGTCAACTGCAGCCTGCTGCTGCTAAGTGTTGCATCCCAGAATAAGAGGAGAGTCAGTTAGTTGGCAATTGCCAGTTCATTTGGGTCATCTAGACTGAGTTGCTCTTGGCACCTGGGGAAAAGTAGAGATGCTGGTATTTAGTGTACTTACTGAATAGGTGACACAAGAGTTTCCCTTCAGGAAACCCAGAGTATGAAATGTCTCAGTGGCTGAGACTTCAAATCAGCCAGAATATCAGATAATATAAACGCCCAGATCCCAGGTTCCCAGCGGAATATGAGGCCCAAGGACGAGCTGTGTGTGACCTGTTTTAGAAGTCTGTGAATGTCTTGGATGGATATTTCTACCTGAAGTGTATAAGGAGGACCCTTTTCCCCTCCCCGCCCCCTCAGGTTCTCATTCATACTCAGTCTTGGAAAAACTATCACCTTGTCCTGAATTTGCATTGCATTTATCTATTTGTTGCTTTCTTTAAGAGAAGGAAAAATAACTTTCACAGATTAAAAGGCAGGTCTCTACAGTCCCTCTGGTACAGCCAAAGAGGTGGCATAAACATAAAAGATTTTCCTAGGCTGGGCGTGGTGGCTCAAGCCTGTAATCCCAGCACTTTGGGAGGCCGAGGCGGGTGGATCACCAGGTCAAGAGATCGAGACCATCCTGGTCAACACGGTGAAACCCCGTCTCTACTATAAATACTAAAAATCAGCTGGGCATGGTGGTGCATGTCTGTAATCCCAGCTACTCAGGAGGCTGAGGCAGGAGAATTGCCTGAACCCAGGAGAGGAGGCGGAGGTTGTGGTGAGCCGAGATCACATCATTGCCCTCCAGGCTGGGTAACAAGAGTGAAACTCCGTCTCAAAAAAAAAAAAAGATTTTCCTGGTCAGCCCCTCCTGCAAAAATACATCTAGCTTTGGAGATCTTCCTCCCCAGTGGCACCATCCCGACAAAGGGAAATAATATCTTGTTGAGAAAGAATTCTACATGTCTGTGTGTACATTTTTTTGGAAGGCGAAAGAGGATGTGAAATATCAGAAAAGATTCTTTTTGTTGCCTATTTCACAAAATGATATATGGTTTCATATATGTCTCAAGTGATTGTGAGCAAACATTTGCCCTATCAGATTTCGTAAAACTTAGAAAATAGCAACATAAGCAAAAAAAAAAATCTGTTTTTGAGTTAGAGATGATACTCACACCTTATTATAAAATATTTTTATGTATTCCAAGACCATGTTTGATTTTCCAGCTTTGACATTCTTAAAACATTTGCATCTATGCTAAAACACATACAGGAGGTCTGTTTTGATGGCTTCTCAGCATCTCCATCTGATATGGTTTAATATCCAAAGAGGACCTAGCTTTAGACAGATGCAGTATTCAAAGTAGTAAGTCTGAGACATATATCAAAAAAATATTAAACGTAGGTAATGGAGAAGGTGAAGGCTTAATTATAATTATGCAATTGGACGCTTCATAAAATAAAATGTCATACATGTTAAATCAGTTGTGACAAGAAGCTGTAGAAAATTATGTAATAATCACCTTTTTGTTCCTGTAATAAATTCTTGGAGGATTAGGTAGAAATCCTTCCTGAAAGATAGAACAAACAAACAAAGAAACAAACAAACAAGGTATATGGTCAGCCTGTGTTTTTGCTTTGTGAGTCTGGCATTTCTAACCTCCTTCCAAATATTTCTACCTGAATATTCCACTGCCAACTCCAACCCACGGTGTCAGAATGAATAAGTAATCATCTCTTTCTCTTCACCTGTGCTTCTAGATTTCAATCAACAGAAGCCAGAAAATCATCTTCAGGACCATTTTCCCTTTTCTTGAGCTTCTTTCCTAAGTCCTAAGAGGTTTTCCCTTACATTCTCATACCATCTATCACCTCCTTTCCACTTCAGCTGGAGTCCTGACACCAGAGCTATCCAAGCAGCACACACTTACTGCATGCTACTGGGTGTCAGTCACTCCGATCAATCTTGGGTACCTGAAGATAGATAAACCTAAAGGGATCTAGAGGCAAAAAGCACTTACAGAAGGATAAATATAAACAGTGAAAAAAAGGCATTAGTAGGGGGTGTAGCAACCCTGGGAAGGGATGACCCATGGCTAGATCAGTGAATATTTAGGGAATAGAGTAACATTTGAGCTGAGCATTAGACTGAGTTTGTTAGCAGGGGAGACAGTAAAGGCATTTCAAAGCCCCATTACTGTCTAAAATATTGTTCTAAGTGTCATTTCCAATCTCAGAAGATTTCATTGATTCCTTGTTATCTCAATTACAGATTTGAATTACTTAGCCTGGCATTAAAGTGCTCCACAAATAGCCCCAATTCCTGAATTGTGCCTTATTGCATGCAACCCACCTACCTAAATCCACAGAGCTATTAATACTTTTACTATGGTTCTTATTTTAATTCTATTCTGGTTTTCAGGTCATTCTTTCTCTGAAGCGTCTTGCACTGCTTGACTATCAACGCTCTTCTTTTTTTCGGTGCATAAAATTGTCCACATGCACCCTAGTCAGAATGATCTTTCCCTCCTCCAAGTTTCTGCATCTGTCCTGACTGAGCCCCTGGTACAACATCAATGGGTTGCACTGGAGTGTAGTTAGGGTTATGGGGCCCCTCTCACCCGAGTGAGAGTGTAAGGTTTATTGCTGAGGTAAAATGAGGAAACCGAGGTAAGTACAAGAAAATGAGAAGCTAATTTATTTAGCTTTTGGGTGAGATTTTGTGGTTTAGGGAGGGGGGGCTAAAGAAGTCGTGCTCTGCTGTTTAGGGCATGGAGTTTTCTGGGGAGGGAAGGCAATTGATTGGCTATTGGGGAAACAAAGCTAAGGCAATTTTATTGGCCGTTAAGAAGCAGTAAATACTTGGAACTAGTTGCTGGAAATACTTGGAACTAGCTGCTATTGGTAAGGGGGCGGGACTTTGGGTAAGTGGGCCTTGACTGGCTATTGGGGAAACAAAGCAAAGGCAATATTATTGGCTGTTAAGAAGCAGGAAATACCTGAAACTAGCTGCCATTGGTAGGCGGGCAGGACCTTGGGTAAGTGGGCATGGATTGGCTATTGGGGAAACAAAGTGAAGGCAATTTTGTTGGCTGTTAAGAAGACGGAAATACCTGGAGCTAGTTGTTATGGGTAGGCGGGTGGGACCTTGGGTAAGTGGGCTTGCTGGGGGCGTACAGGGCAGAGTGCTACTGGGCAGGGTCTGATGGGGCTTTAAAATAAAAAATTTCTGCAGGGTTTTTTAACAGTGGGCAGGGAGTTGAATGCATAATTTAGTGCTGAATGTGGGTCTGGGTCTGGTATGCAGAGGCGGGTGTGGGGAAGCCGTGCGGCAAGGCTAGGTAATGAGCTTGGGTGATGAGGTAGCTATCAGGCATGGAGAGAGATGGATGTGTCTGTTTAACCTTCTGTGAGGCAGCTGGCCTTACAGAGAGGATAAACTCACTGGCATCAAACCTTTAGCTGTAACTCAACAATTATTTGCTGGATACATGGTGACCTTATTATTAGGGCGCAACAAAGCAGGGCACAGGTGTGGCCCCTTGTCACTGGAATACCTCCATCAGCCGTTGTAGGGGCCACCCATAACAGCGCACACTCAGCTTCCAGTTCTTTGTTCTTGCGTAGCCTCCTTTGATTGCAAATTCCCTGAGGCTGAGCCAGTTTCCATCCTCAGTCTGTATACACTTCATCAAGATTCCTGTAAGACCAGGGTAAGTTGATCCTGAGCCCTCTTTCTTCCCAGTGCTCAGACTGTAGCCGCTCACCACACTGAATCTAGAACCACACAATTTGTGATCAAGATCAACAGTGGGAGGGTCTGGCTTTCCCTCTCAGATTTCAGAGGCCCCAAATCCAGCCTGAAAGTCCTCTCTAAGGACATTTCCTGGTGGTGGTGCACATTTCTTCCTCCTTTATCCATGAAATAAGTGATCGTTATCAAGAGCAACCTTTGAAAAGTGTTTCAGAAGCACTTACAGAAGGAAAAGCAAGTGATTCTGAGAGACGAGAGCATTCCAATTTGCTGTTGGATTCTGGGGTAGAGACCAGGCCTGCGTCTGCAGATGGCTCTGGGGGCAATGTGGAGTCAGAATCCTCACTTAGAGGTACAGTCTCAGATAGGTGTTCTGTGGCTCAGAAGGCCACACCAGCAACACGTGCACCTTCTATCACAACATTTTTCATTCAGTTTTATGGCATTATTGAACAGAGATTTTCTCATCTCTGCAACCATAGGTAGCTGATATTAAAAAATAATTATAAAATATTATCTAATAGAAAATTTAAGTTATATATAAAAGACAGTTACATGCTCAACACCATCAGCCATTAGGGAAATGCAAAGCAAAACCACAATGGGATACCACGTCACACCCACTAGGATGATCATAATAAAAAAGATAGACAATAACAAGTGTTGGCGAGTGTGTAGAGAAACAGGAGCCTTCATACATTTCTGGTGGGAATATAGAACAGTGCAGCCACTGTGGAAAGCACTTTGGTGTTTCCTCAGTAAGTTAAAAATAGAATTACTATTTGCTGCAGCAATTCCTCTCTTGAATATACACTCCAAAGAATTGAAATATGTTCACACCAAATTTGTTAAATGAATGTTCAAAATAGCATTGTTTATAGCAGCCAAAGAATGAACATAAACCAAGTTGATGAATGGATAAACAAAATGTGATATATCTATACAATTAAATATATTATTTATCAATAAAAGAAATGAAGTACCAATACATTCATTATGAATAAACTTTGAAAGCACCATACTCATTAAAAGCAGCCAGTCATGAAAGGGTATGTGTTACAGGATTCCATTTGTAGAAAATGTTTAGAATAGGCAAATTTATAGAACAGAACATTGATTAGCAGCACTCAGGGCTGGGCATTGAGGTAAGGTGGGAATGGGCATTGACTGCTAATTGACATGGGTTTTTCTTTAGTGGGGGGACAAATTGTTCTAAAATTAGATGATAATAATTGCTGTACAATCCTGTGAAAATACAAAAAAATTCATTGATTGGCATACTCTAAGTGGTGAGTTGTATGATATGTGAACTATATTTCAGTAAAGCTGTTTAAAAATAATCACAAGTGAAAACTTTTGTATTAATTGGTGCTCAAAGAGCCAAGTTAAGAGAGGTCTGAGATGAAGGTCATTCTGATAGACTTTATTAGCAAGTTTTATACTTTTCAATCACAAAATATTTTACATTAATTTGTAAAGTAGTTCTTACAGCTATATCATGAGGCAGGTGTTTAATTATTCTTCCCTCTCTTGGATGAGAAATTTCAGGTTCAAAAAGGCCCCCTTCTCTACTCAGAATGGAACAGTCACTCCTGGCACAGCCAAGGCTGGAACTCAGGCTTCCTAATTTTAAAACCTGAGATTGGGTTTTAAAACCTAAGTTTTAAAACTAAAACTAGGTTTTAAAACCTAATTTTAAAACTTAAGTCAAGCACCCTGCTTTGGTAACAGCACTCCAGAAGGAAGAAAGAATATGAAGGTTGAGGCTGAGGGCCTCTTTGCTTTTCTGTCTGACTCAAGGTAAAATACGTAACATTTTCCATCTGTGAATTGATGTTCCTGCACTTCTCTTTGGTTCTTTGGTCACCCCGTGGACACTCCATTTGTGAGTGAGCATCTAATGGATGTGATGGATATGATTTTTTGAAGTCTGAAAATGTCATCTTAGGGATCCCTTCCTCCTTCCTTCGAGCCAATCTGGGGCCAAATACCTTGAATGATGTGTAATTCACATGGATAATTTCCCCACTAATTGTGATGCCTTCAGAGAGGAGTTGCAAATTGAAAAATAAAACTCACCTCGTTCCAATTTCTTCTTGTATAAAATCCCCTTTACCTCACCACAGGTCACCAGAAGTGCGGGATCCTCAAAATCCACAGTTTCATCTTTGTACCTTCTTGAAGCTGAAAGAGGATTTCTTCACTATATCTCACTTTGCAAAGTCACATCCCCCCTCCCCACTGAGGTAATTCCTATAAAGGCACAAAGAGTGTTTAAGAAATTCTATTCCAAAAATCTCTAGAGTTTCAAAGTCTTTCTTCCAAGTGGCATTTTTGATACATAAATACAGAATGTGTACCCCAATTTCACATTTCAAACTTCATACAAAATAGAATGCTTTATCAGAGAAATTAGACTTCAGTAAAACTGTTTTAACTCCCAATGTAGTTCACGCCACTGATTCTTATATGACACTGAAACATACAGTTGTTGTAATTTGTTTGATGGGAGTTCTCCAGCTATGCTGTTTTGCTGCAGTTATGTAGCCAGAGATGAAGTGGGAGACCATAATCAGTCTTCCTATTTGAGCACTGACTGGTCAAGGAGGGAGAGATGAGATAACCTAATGGAGACAGTGTCTGCCTTCTATTGTTGTTCTCTGCCTTGCTCCATTTTTCCCTTCTATCAACTTTCTTCACTGCTGAGAGAGGAGCTCAGGGAGCTCTAGAATAATATGAAAATTGTACCTGGCAGTGGGTGGGAAACTAGGGACCTGATATCACAGAAGTAGGTGTGAAAGTTCTTCAAAGAAACTACAGGAGGATGAGCAGTGAATCCTGCCTTTCCAAACAGAGGTGGAGAGGCCATGATGGGCAGCAGGAGCTGTCCTTGATCCTGAAGCTGGATTTGAAAAAGGCAGACTATTTAGACTGGGATGAACTAATAAGGAAGGCCGAGGTGGGTGGATCATGAGGTCAAGAGATCGAGACCAGCGTGGCCAACATGTAGAAACCCTGTCTCTACTAAAAAAAAAAGAAAAAGAAAAAGAAAATTAGCTGGGCGTGGTGGTGTGCACCTGTAGTCCCAGCTACTCTGGAGGCTGAGGCAGGAGAATTGCTTGAACCTGGGAGGTGATGGTTGCAGTGAGCCAAGATTGCACCACTACACTCCAGTCTGGTGACAGAGTGAGACTTCATCTCAAAAAAAAAAAAAAAAAAAAAAGGTGGTTGGCCTAATTCACCCTCTAGCTCCCCAGATGAGGAAACCAAGTCAAAGAAGGCCAAATGATTGGCGCAAGACCACACAGTCAGAGAAAAAAAAAAGTCAGAAAGCCTTAGGGCACAGATCTCTAACCACAACTCTGGTTAACCTTTAGTATGCAACCTGTGGCTTTCTGTAGTAGCCAAAGGATGGTCAGCTAAATAACTTATGGGTTATACCCTTTATACAGCAATGGACTATCTCCAGCCTTGAAATTTATCATTTCAGTGGAAGTAGCACTTTAGTGTCCCCAGGGCCACTGAGGTCCAGTTGTAAATGAATCACCAACTTACTTCCTTCTGTCCTTGACACATTTCAGAAAATGACAAAATTGGATAAATTTCTCAATAGTTAGTACAACTCCATAAAACAATTAAGGAAATAGTTTTATTACTGAAAATAGCAGCATAAAGCATAGTAAATTAGATGTTTAGTTATTGAAACTGCATTCCTATTCTCTTTTTTTAACCTCTTGATTGGACTCTTTTCTGTGGATCTCTGTCACTCTGAGTGAAGCAGGGCTCTAGGTCTGCCTCTCTTTCTCCCTGAGAAAGTAGAATAATATAATCACAGTCAATAGGGGGATCCAAGATGGCCAAATAGGAACAGCTCTGGATTGCAGTTCCCAGCAAAAACACAGAGGATGAGTGATCACCTGCATTTCCAAACGAATTTTTACTGCCCACAGACCAGAAGATTCCTGGGTGAAAAAGCACCATGAGTCTCCAGTGTGGCTGTTTCAGCCAGTGGAGCGGGTCTCTGCACAAAAACACACAAATCCGGGTGCTGTTTCAACTGGTGACTGGAACGTCTGGGTGACAGAGGTCACCCATTCAACTGAAAAAAAAGGGGCTGAAACAGGGAGCCAGGTGATCTGGCTCAGCTGGTCCCACCCGCACAAAGACCAGCAGTCTGAAGCACTCCAGTTTGAGAGTTTCACAGGAAGCACAGCTGGACCCAGGACGGTCCAGCTTTGTGGGGAGAAGGGTGTCCGCCATTACCAAGGCAGTCCACCACTACCAAGGCAGTCTGCCATTACTGAGGCAATCTCTCATTACGGACACAGTCCGCCATTACCAAGGCAGTCCTAACTATACCCCTATAAACAAAATTGCAAGGAAATTCACACAGCAGCTGGGCTCAGCAACACCTCTGCTGGCAGACTGTGACTAGGCTACCTCCTCACTGGGCAGGGCATCTCTGAAAAAAGGCAGCAGAATGACAGGAACTTACAAATGAAGTCCTACCTTCCCAAGACAGAGCACCTGGGAAAAAAAGACGGTTATGAGTTCCACTGCAGCAGACTTAAACATACATGCCCAGCAGCTCTGAACAGAACAACAGAGCTCACAGCTCAGCACTTGAGCTCCTATAAGGGACAGACTGTCTCCTCAAGCAGCTCCCCGACCCCCGTATAACCAAAGAGACACAGTCATAAAGGAGAGCTAAGGCTGACATCTGGCAGGTATCCTTCTGGGACAGAAATAACAGAAGAAGAAACTGGCAGCAATCCTTACTGTTCTATAGCCACTGCAGGTGATCCCTAGGCAAGCAGGGTCTGGAGTGGACCTCCAGCAGTCCTCCAGCAGAGGGGCTGACTGTTGGAAGGAAAACTAAGAAACAGAAAGAAATAACTTCTTTAGTAGAAACCGTACAAGCCAGAAGAGAGTGGTGGCCAATATTCAACATCCTTAAAGAAAAGAACTTTCAACCCAGAATTTCATATACAGCCAAACTAAGCCTCATAAGCAAAGAAGAAATAAAATCCTCTATGAACAAGCAATTGCTCAGAGATTTCATCACCACCAGGCCTGCTTTATAAGAGCTCCTGAAAGAAGCACTAAACATAGAAAGGAACAACCAGCACCAGCCACTCCAAAAATGTACCAAATGGTAAAGAGCATCGACACAATGAAGAAATCAACTAATGGGCAAAACAATCAGCTAGCATCAAAATGGCAGGATTAAATTTAGGCATAACAAAATTAACCTTAAATGTAAATGGGCTAAATGCCCCAATCAAAAGACACAGACTGGCAATTGAATAAAAAGAGAAAACCCATTGGTATGCTGTATCCAGGAAACCCATCTCACATGTAAGGATACACATAGGCTGAAAATAAAGGGATGGAGGACGATCTACCAAGCAAATAGAGAGAGAGAGAGAAAAAAAAAAAAACACCACCAGGAGTTGCAGTCCTAGTCTCTGATAAAATAGACTTTAAACCAAACAAAGATCAAAGGAGGCAAAGAAGGGCATTACATAATGGTAAAAGGATCAATGCAACAAGGAGAGCTAAATATATATATATATATTGGGCACAATCCTAAATATATACGTGCCCAATACAGGAGCACCCAGATATGTAAAGCAAGTTCTCAATGACCTGCAAGTGAGACTTAGACTCCCACACAATACAGGAGCACCCAGATACAAAAAAAAAAAAATACAGGAGCACCCAGATACATAAAGCAAGTTCTCAATGACCTGCAATGAGACTTAGACTCCCACACAATAATAGTGGGAGATTTTAACACTCCTCTGTCAATATTAGACAGATCAACGAGACAGAAAATTGACAAGGCTATCCAGGACTTGAACCTGGACCAAGCAAACCTAATAGACATTTACAGAACTCTCCACTCCAAACCCACAGAATATACATTCTTCTCAGTGCCACATCACAACTACTCTAAAATTGACCACACTCCTCCGGAAATGCACAAGAATGGAAATCATAACAATCCTTTAGACCACAGTGTAATCAATAAATAATAATAAATCCTGGATTTATTGATATTTAGAAGGATTTTTTGTGTCTCTATCTCCTTCAGTTCTGTTCTGATCTTAGTAATTTCTTGTCTTCTGCTAGCTTTTGAGTTTTTTTGATCTTGCTCCTCTAGTTCTTTCAATTTTGACAATAGGGTGTCGATTTTAGATCTTTCCTTGCTTCTCATGAGGGCATTTATTGCTATAAGTTTTCCTCTAGACACTGCTTTAAATGTGTCCCAGAGATTCTGTTGTGTCTTCATTCTTGTTGGTTTTGAAGAACATCTTTATATCTGCCTTCATTTTATTGTTTATCTAGTCAACATTCAAAAGCCAGTTGTTCAGTTTCCATGAACTGATTATGCCAGGTTCAGCCATTCACTCACATCCAAGTTGTAGAAGTAAAGCTCTATTTCCTTCAAAAGAAGTCAAGCTGTGATGCCTAACCCCTTACCTTCCCTTTCATCAACTCCCTTATGGTGAAGTTGATGAAAATGTCTCATGGAAGAAAGAGCTAATGATTGTGCATCAATCACTTGCAATGTCATTTCACAGCTCAGGCTAGACACTTTTACACTCTGATCTCACTCCTCTCTTTCACCTCCCCAATCCTGGATGGGACCAAGCCAACAGCTGTGGAGTAGGGTAGGGCCAAGAGAAAATAAGAGAAGACACTAAGCATGTTGCCCCCAACTATACGTGTTCCAGACTAAGGCTTGCCCAGGCTGAAGGAGGCAAAGTACTTTAAACTGGGGAGGGCATTGGAATTTTAATACTTGGTCAGAAAGGATCCTCAACTACTGAAATGAGCACTCTTATTGTTAAAAGGGAAGAGGAAAGTGATAGGGCTTGCTCAAGACAGGAAATAACTCATCTAGGAGGAGGACGTGAAAGGGCAGTGAGAGAATAAACAGGTATTTTGTTCACAATTTACCAGGTCCATACATTTTAATTACCCAATGATTTAAGGCAAAGGAATTGCCAGGAAAATCAGATAAAACACAGAGGAAAACAATTTCAGAACCTGGAAAGATAAGATCTGATATGAATACAAACAACTCACAACCCTTGCTTATAATGGGTTTGCTTTTTTTAAATTTCACTGCTCTCAAATTGACTAAGTTTGACTAGTAAACAATAAAGGATCTAGGCGTCTGGAAAACTCAACAACATTTGCATTGACCCATAGGGCAAATGAAAAGTGGTACAAACTATCTTACCCCTAATCTTGAAAGGGCCTGGCAGATTCACATTCGCCTTCTTTTTACTGGAGACCAGCTGGCCATCGGCTTTGCCGTTACCTGGGGACAGGCAGGGGAAAATCTATTAACAGAACAGGGCAGAACAACAGCTGACTGGCTGGACCACAAGCTAGTGAGGGAGTCCTGGGTTTGATTCTGGATGCCCTTTCTTCAGACAGTCAGACAAGGAACCTCAAGCAGGTATCCAGAGCATTTTCTGCTTTTAGGAGTGTTGACTTTTAAATTACATACAGGATTTAATTGTATATTGAAGTCTCTCAGAATTTGTCTATATGCACACAGACTTAAATGAAAATATCATAATGACTCAGTCCAAATAAATTTTTAATTTGAAAACACCCATTCTTGTTTTTGTTTTGTTTTGGTTTGTTTTTTGAGGCAAGAGTCTTGCTCTGTCACCCAGGTTGGAGTGCAGTGGCAGTTTCTACTCACTGCAACCTCTGCCTCCCAGGTTCAAGTGATTCCCGTGCCTCAGCCTCCCCAGTAGCTGGGATTACAGGTGGTGACCACCACATGCAGCGAATTTTTGTATTTTCAGTAGAAACAGGATTTCATCATGGAGGCTGATCTCAAACTCCAACCTCAAGTGATCCACGCATCTCAGCCTCCCAAAGTGCTGGGATTACAGGCGTAAGCCACCACATCTGGCCAAAAATCCCTATTCTTAAAATAGATGCAACCACTTTTTTTTCTTTCCAAACAAAAATGTACATCCACAAACTGGGCAGACACTTAAACTGGCTAGAACAGAAGATACATAGATTGGTGAAAATTAACAATTTTCAATAGGACTCTAAAATCTAAAATCTTACTATATAGATGCACTGATTCAAAATTGAGCATCATTTGGAAAATAAGACTTAGCTTTCATTGACTAGGAGAAAGGAAATACTTAGACCATGACTAAAATAAATAATATATATAATTATGGAAAATTCAGAAAATAAAATGTTCTAAAATACCATCATCTTTAGATAGCCCACAGATGAGGATGGTTATCTCCAGATAGTGATTTGTTCAAAAATATTCTCCTAGAATTTTCTTTTTGCATATGTTATTTTTTAAAGAAAACTTTTTCATTATAAAATTTGAAGATTTTAAAAATTTTAATATACACACTTACATTTAAATACCACAAATGAAAATATAAACTTCATCTCTATTATACTGATCAAATGTAATCACTGCATGTATCTTTATAAACAAACTGCCATTGATTTTGCTATATCTCTATATCCCTTTGTAGATACAAATGAATAATTACATATGCCTGCTTAAGGATTGATAGATACATAAAAACATACTTTCACAAGCATAAATTTCACATAAAATACAGTAATACACATATGTACAGATATATTTTACAATTCCACACACATACACATAAACCTTGCTTTCTTCATTTAGCTCTCTTAGGAAGATTTTTCCAAATTAATAAAAATTTCTTGAGCTAGAAATAAAGTTATATTGAGGATAATAACACCTCCCTATTAACTGTGGACCTCCAGACTATCACATGCATGAGAAACCATTTTGTTGAGGCCATTGCATCCTCAGGCCTCTTTGTCACAGCCTGTTAGTTGACCTGCTAACCGATACAGGAGGTACAGAACTATCCTGGCCCTCAGGAGCTGCAGGCCTTCAGGAATACAACGGGCAGTGCCCTAATAAACTCAAAAGCTGTAACTGCTTCACTGCCTGCTTACCAGTCTGTTGGATTTTTTTCTGTGTTGTCCTTCTTATTCTGGTCCAGCAATGCCCCTTCTTTTTTCCTTCAAACCAAAGAGAATAAAGTTATATGCAGAGGAATAAATATAATTCTCTGAGTTTCATTTGCCAGTAGCATACAAGAATTTTTTTTAATACTTTGTTCCACTGGAATGGGGCAAATTATTTTATGATCAGCGTACTAGTGGAAAGTTGAGTACAGAGTTCTATATTAATTCTGCATGATCCTTGGGCCATGATCCTTGGGTTTGGGAGACTAGGAGATTACCTTCCTTGGAAACAAAATTTTTGATGGAAAATTAACTCTTGCTGCCACCTTACAGTGAATGATAACTGCTCTTGCTTGTTCCCTTTTCAAGTGTTTGTTGTGTACATTCAAATGTGCAGTGAGAAGGCGTAGTCCTTGAAGCTGATGTTGTATGGATAATACTCTCTACCGGAAGTTGGGAGATATTCTGAACTCGATGTGAAGAGTTTTCATTATGTAATTGCATAATCATTATACAATGTCTATATAATCTCATTAAACAATCTCAGCGGTGTCTCCGCACTGCCAGCCCTCCTTCAGGCTGCAGAGTCGCTGACTCCAGAACGCTATTGTACCCCAGAAACTCATCCGTGTCATGATCTAGCCATCTGGCCCATTTACAGTCTGATGTGCCTTTTTTCAGAAAAGTGACTCCACAATGCACTGATTTTTGGAATGTCCCTCATCTCCTCCTGTTCACACACCATGGGAGGGCAGGAGGCTCGCTGAAGGGAGCAGTCCCCAGGAAGGGACCATCTTCTTCCTGGACAGTGACCAGGACAAAGGTGGTGGGGGATTGCGAGAGCTCTGTAGACCTATCTTGAAAATTCAGGGTTCTGTTGTGACCATTCCTAGGGATGATGTCTCATTCCTTCCCCTACCAGCCTGGTAAGCACAGCCTTCAGAGTGTCCAGGGGATTCAGATTCAACTCCAGACATGGTTAATAAAAATGCTTTTGCTCTATTTGTATCTAATTTTAGGATAGAAGATCTAAGTGAGAAAAGGAGATAATTAGCAGAAAAAGATGAAGGTACAGCCACCGGAATGGTACAAACAGATTTTGCAGCAGTGAAGCAAGAGCAAACATTCAGACATCTAAGGTGAGAGCACCTCCAACCCTATGAGGTATGGAGAAAACAGAAGCATTAGTGATATCTGTCTTTCAGAATTACCCTGGACCCTTTGTCCAGAAGGAAAACACCCTGCTCCAGTGCTCTCACCACTGAGAAGGCTGAGTTGGCTTCTCCAACCCTAGGAGGCATGGAGGAAACAGGAGCATTGGTGATATCTGTCTTTCACAACTACCCTGGACCCTTCATCCAGAAAGAAAACACCCTGCTCCAGTGCTCCTGTCTCTGAGAATGCTGAGTCGACCTCTCTACACCAGCCATGAGACAGAAGGGGCTAGCCCCAGCTTCTGAGGTCCCACACAGAACCCACTAGACATCTTCCCCACCCCTATTCTCAGTCATTTGTTGGTGGGGGGTGACTGTTACCTGGTTGGTATCATGGACAAAGAGGACAGGTTGGACAGACTGTCCTTAAGCAGTCCCCCCACATGCCCACCTCCTCCCACACACAAACACATCAAGGACTGGACCCCCACACACAAACACATCAGGGACTGGACACAATGAACAGAACTGGGAACAAGGCTTATGGCCAGCCAGGAGTCATGCAGGAGGCACTGTTCACCTTCCCCCTGACAAATGTATATCTCACTCAGGGAAGCTCAACAATGGTAAACACTTCCCTTTGGGGAGTACTTTGTGTGCCCTGGGGATTGTGTTTCTTGTTTGAAAGCCAGGCATTAACTTGGACCTTAGAGGTGGTCAGGCGGTCATAAAGGATCTAAAGCATTCATGGTTTATGAAGTGTGTGTGTGTGTGTGTGTGTGTGTGTGTGTGTGTAGAGATGTGGTTCCACTATCTTGCCCAGGCCTTGTTTTTGGACTCCTGATCCTTCTGCCTTGGCCTCCCAAAGTGCTGAGATAATGAGTGAGCCACTGCAACTACATTTGCCATTTGTTCCTACAACATTTAACAAATGGAGTGGATTTGGACCCATGAGTCAGATTAATCAGAGTGGCTGATGGGGTGATGTCTTCATGAGGAAATTTGCCAGAAGCAAAAATGTAGAAAGAATTTGTTGAGAATATATTCTCCATGGCATCTCTATACTCATGGTATCAGGGTATCACCGCAAGGTTGTTTGAATAGCAAGCAGCCTTGGAAGATAGAAATCATGTAGTCTCCAGATTACAGGGCAGATTTATTTCCCGACCAGTATAAAGCGGAGACCATCTCCCTCCTTAGAAATTTTCCAGAGGACATGCCCCCAGAAGAGATTTGCTTAATATCCCCAGAGGAGAGTTGCTTAAATTTCATCTTAAAAGATAATGTTTAAAATACAGTGTGATACCTTCAGCTTTGTTCCATTTTTTTCAAGATTACTTTGACTATTTGGGTCTTTTATGGTTCTATACCAATTTTAGGATTCCTTTTTCCTATTTCTGTGAAAAATCTCATTGAAATTTTGATAGAGACTTTATTGACACTCTAGATCACTTTGGTTAATATGGATATTTTAACAATATTCTTCCAGTTTATGAACATGAGATGTCTTTCTATTTATTTGCATCTTTTTCAGTTTCTTTCATCAGTGTCATGGTTGTCAGTGTGCAAATATTTCACCCTGGTACATTTGTTCCCATTCTATTCTTTTTGTTGCTATTGTAAACGGAATTGTTTTCTTTATTTCTTTTATGGATAGTTCATTGTTAGTACATAGAAACACAACTGATCTTAAAGCCTGCAACTTTACTGAATTCATTTATTCGTTCCAACAGTCTTGTGGTGGAGTCTGTAGGGTTTTCTATGCAGAAGATCATGTCACCTGGAAACAGAGACAATTCAACTTCTTTCCAATTTGGATGACTCTTTTTTTCTTGCCTAATTGCTCTGACTAGGACTTCCAGAAGTATGGTAAATACAAACATCAAGAAGGGGCACTTAATCTTGACAAGGGTGCCAAGAATAAACAATGGGGAAAAGACAGTCTCTTCAATAAATGATGCTGAGAAAGCTGAATATCCACAAGCAAAAGAATGAAATTAGACACTTGGCTTACACCATATACAAAAATTAACTCAAAATAAATTAAAGGCTTAAATGTCAGGTATGAAACCATAAAATTCAAAGAATAAAACAGGGGAAAAGCCCCTTGATGTTGGTCTGGGCAATTATTTTTTAGATAAGACACCAGAAACACAGGCAACAAAAGCAAAAATAAGCAAGTGGAACTACATCACTCTAAAAAGATTTTGTACAGCAGAGGAGATGATTTTAAAAATGAAAAGGCAACCTATGGAATAGGAGAAAATATTTGCAAACCATATATTTGATAAGGGTTACTACCTAAAGTATATAAGGAATTCATGTAACTCAATAGTAAATAAAAAACAAAAGAAAATCATGTCATAACTGATTTAAAAATGAGCAAAGGATATGAAAAATGTTTTCCCGAAGAAGACATATAAATAACCAACGGGTTATAAGAAAGCACTCAACACCACTGATCATGAGAGAAATGTAACACAAAACCGTAATGAAATACCACCTCACACCTATTGGGATAACCATTATCAAAAAGGCGACAGATAACAAATATCAGTGAGGGTGTGGAGAAAAGGAACCCTTGTATGCTGTAAGTGGGAATGTAAATTAGTACAGCCATTATGGAAAACAGTATGGAGGTTCCTCAAAAAATTAAAAATAGGAAACATATCATCCAGAAATCTCACTTTGGGGTATGTATCCACAGGAAATGAAACCAGTATCTCAAAGAGATATCTATACCCCCATGTTCACTGCAGCGTAATTCACAGTAGTTAAGACATAGGAACAACCTAAGTCTCCATTAACAGATGAATGGATAAAGAAATGTGGTTAAGACACATATCTGTGTATACTGGAAAACATAAAATGGTATTTCAAATGATGAAGATAAGAGTATTGGGGTTATTTCTCTTAATTACTATCTCGCATCATACACCAATAAATGAATTCCATGTGTGTTATAGATCATATATATATATATTACATGACATATCTATGTACAACTATGTATAACATGGCTGGGACAGTTGAAGAAATTATATAATGATGTTCAGCATTTTCCCATTTCCACATAGACTTTAGATTAAGGATGACAGCATGAGGAAATGGAGCAAGAAACACAAAAATTATATACAATTACAAGTGACCGTCAAGGACTTTGAGAATCAGGGAGTCCAGGGATCCTGCTCTCGCCATTCCTTTCTCACCAGCATTTTCCTATCCCATCTGAATGACAGCCTGCACACTGAATGGCCAGTCAGGAGAAAAATATATACACATCTCACTCCCCCACATGTACATCAGCAAGTCTATCAGTCATTCTCATTGGGCCAAATGTTTGGCATATCAGAATCTGTGATGTGAGAGGGCAAGAGATTACAGAATCCTGCTCTCTTGAACTTATAGTTCTCACCCTGGCCCGCTCTGTCATAACCAGCAAGTTGCATTTAATAAGATTCTAGCCAATCTGGTGATAACTAGATTGAAGATGCTGGTTACCTGCAACTCCTTTCCTCTACCTGTTGATGAATCAGCATAGCTACCTCTCCTCATCACACAAGAGCTGGGTTGCTGAGTTCTGGGAATGCAGAGATTTCTCAGTCTTCCTCCTTTTCCTCCCTAACCACTTTCCCCAGCTTCCTCCAAGGTGAATCATCTTCTAAAAATCTGTTCCTCCAGCCCTGCAGTAGTACTAAATCACAGGGGCTAGCTCAGTTTAGCCTTCCTCCTCTTTCTCTAACAATACACCTGACATCAGATTGCATCTGAAACATGGGTCAACATATGTGTATGACTGAACATGTTTCCTCAGGCTTGCAGCTCTGCTGCCAGAGAAGCTTTTTAGCAGCTAAGACCCAGATGTAGGCTGGGAAAGTGGGCTGGGTAAGAGGCAAGAAGCTTCCATGGCTAGCTTCTTAAGCACTGCATTTTTTTTTAACCTCAAGACTATGCCATCTATAAGGTTCTCGTGCCTGAATTTATAATCCCCAAACCTCAATTTACGCTCTCCTCATGTAGTCCTCAAATGCTTCTCCTCTGTAGCACCTGCCCAGTATTACAGAGCAGAGGCTCACCACCCATGGGCCTTCTTCACTTTTAGTTTTACAATGAACAGTATGGAGTTTTTCTGTTAGCACTTACGACTTCAGAATCAGAATCAATCTTACATACATTTAACGCTATCTTACAGATGAGGAAATGGAAATCAAAAGAGGCTAAATGGCTTAACCAAGGTTATACATCAGCTCTACTGAGACAGAGCCGAACTAGAACCCAGATACCTTGATTCCTATAAACGAGTGCTCTTCCCACTGTCCTATGATACTTTCCAAAGCAACATTCTGGAAAAGAGAGAGATAGTGCCCATTTTCTGTGAATAGTGCTCATCAATTTTTGCATTATTTGAGAGCCAGAGCAAGCGGTAAGAGATACTAAGTAATGGAGGTTAAGGGGCACTGTGGGTTGAGGCAAGCAAGTCAATTTTTCTTTTTAAGGATTCTCTAAACCTGCCATAATGGAAACATGAAGCAGTAACAGCCTAAGGGACAGAACACTTAAAAGCACAGAAAACATGTGTCATTCAATCTACCTTTTGCAGCTATGTTAGGTTAGCCTTGGGATGTTAAACCTGCCAAATTCCTGTTAATGTTGATATTTTGACTCCCTCTCATGAATCATGAATGTTCTTAATTGCAAGTGAAATGGTGAATCCTTTCAGAAGATTTTCAATGGACTTTGCCCAGATTCATTCAATCAACCTCTGTAACCTTCAAACTTTTCTTATGAAGCTTCCTACATCTCACAGCCTTCATAAAAGTAAAGAGAGTTAAGACCTCACTCTGGATTAGCTTTGGCTTAAGAGAATGTTGTGGCTAATTTGATCTTCTACCTAGACCACTCAAGCTTTCTCTACATCAGCAATAAGACTGTTCCACTTTATCATTCAAGTGTTTACTGGAGTAGCACTTTTAATTTCCTTGAAGAACTTTTCCTTTGCAGTCATAAATTGGCCAATTATTTGCTGCTAGATGCCTAGTTTTCAGCTGATCTCAGCTTTTTACATGGCTTTTTTTACTAAGTTTCATCACTTCTAGATTTTTATTTAAAAAGAGATACATGTGACTCTTCCTTTAACTCGAGCACTTACTGGCCATTGTAGGGTTATTAACTGACTTATTTTCCATTTTTTAATGTAGGTCTTTTCTATCACACTATTTAAAATTCTTCCAGCCTCTTTCCATTGTCCAATTTCAAAGACACTACACTCCCACAGTTTCAGGAATATGTTACAGCCACACCCCACTGCCAAGTACCAAAATCGGTATGACTCTTAATTGCTGCCATAACAAACTACACAAATTTAGTGGTGTAAACAAAACACAAATATATCATCTTCCTGTCATTGTCAGTGAGAAGTAGGACAAGGGTCTTACTGTCTACAGTCAAGCTGTCAGTAGGCCTTCATTCCTTTCTGGAGGCTGGAGAAGACAACCTTCCTTCTTGGAAGAAGGGACCAATAAAACTCTGGCATTAAAAACGTATTCTTAATACCAAAAGCAAGGACATTCTTATTTATTCTTACTTCTTTTCCTCTTGGGTTTTCCCAAAGTAGAATTTTTTCCAATATCCAGAGGATCTAGAAATAACAAGTGGTGGTGAGGAAACAGAAATTAAGAAATGAAAGTTACAGATTTTAGGACGATTCATACTATAGAAGGCTTGAGTTTATAAAGACGTTTGGAAAGTCATGCCTCTCATCCTTCTAGAACCAAAAACCCATTGAACTGAGGACTAGGAGTCTAGGATGGGCCCTGGATCTTCTATCAAAAATACATGCTGGGCTAAGAAGACTAGACCTGCAGTCTTCCCTCCTGACAATTAAGTATGAGGATTAGTTGTCTTTTGGGTCAGGCCTTTCTAAGGTGTAGCAAAGTGACACTGTTATCTACCAGCAGAAGTTCACTGGGGTATCTTGGGTTCCATGGAATATGGAGTGTGATTTAACATATTAATGCAATAAACAAGATAACTGCCACTTTCAAGAGCATCCGTCCTATGGCATCATCCACATGTAATCAACATAGCCCATCTTGATAAATAAAACTTTATGATAATCTCTTGCCTCCCTGCTGTTCCCCAAAGTCTCGGGTGAAGCAAATGCAGAGAACAAGGATACTGGGCGGACTGAAGCACCTGCCTCCACTCTTCCCAGGGTCTGCGGGGCCCACTGAGCCACCCCATCCCACGGCCCTCAGGCAGCCTTACCCATTTGGCCACATGCTTGGTCACTTTCCATATTTGCTTCTGGGCCTTCTGGGACTTCTTCTGAGACTTCTTCTGAGAAACACATGACACAAGGACCCTTCTCCTTTTCACGTGCTGGTCGCTCTGCTCCTGGGCCAAAATCGTGATTTATGAACACTTAATTTGCCCCGATGACCCTCTCTTCTACATTCTGGTTGTTACCCCTTTCTCTACTTTTCCTTTGAAATCTTCCTTCACTGCTTCTCTATGTTTGACTCTTCCTTTAAGTCTCCCTTTTTATCTCCCTCTGTCTTTTTTTCTTTATGAGAACTCTGTTTCTGTTTTGATTATGTTAAAGTTATAATTATTTGGTACATCACATCATTAGCAAGCTAGGAGCAAGCTCTTCTAATTCTCCTTCTTTAGTCATTTGGTGATCTAGTTAAACAGATACTAATGAAAACAAGACAATTATTTTATTTTTATTGTATTTTGTTATCTTCCAGTTATGTCAGTGAGAAGTGTGACACAGGTCTCACTGTCTAAACTCATGATGTCAGTAGGCCTTTATTCCTTTCTGGGGTCTGGAGAGGACAACCTATTCCTTTGCCTTTTCAGCTTCTAGAGGTTACCCATGTTCACTGGTTGACCTCTAGACAGTGACCAGAGAAGAGTTCCCAGTGCTGTCATGCTGCACACCAATATTCTGGGCTAAAATGAAGTCCTCTCTGGAAAAAAAAATACCTACTCCAATAATCACACCTGACACATAACAGAGCCATGCTCTCCCCAGGTTTTGCACCTCATCCTCCTTTTCTCTACTTTTATTTTTCTGTTTGCAGGCCTGAGAGTAAAAAAGAAAAAAAAAAACAAAAAAGCTCTTATCATTCCAGAAAACACTAACGCTCTTCAAAAATCGGAAGAAATAACTGTTTCAGCTTGTCCTGATTGGCCCTTGACTGCTTACATCACTAACCACAGTTCTGAGAGCTAGCCCATCAGTGGCAGCTCTACACATCTGAAGGCCAGCCAATCAGCAACAGCCCCCTCCAGATAACCCACACTGATGGCTAAATGCTAATCTATTCATAAATACTCCTGTTTCTGAAGGTCTGTAGTGCCTGCACTATGTTTCCTAAAGCTCTATATAAAATCAGCAGTTTCCTTATTTATAGATACTCCAGCTGGCACCCATGCCCGAACCTCCAAGCTCACATTGAACCCAGGCTGGTTGGCCTTTCCATGAGGATTCCACGTCTGACTTGCCACCACTTCCTCTAGTCATGGTATTATTTTTTTTTCTGCATCTTTCTGTCTGCATCAATTTTCCCATTTTTGTTTTATGTTTCTGCCTTTTTTATTAGATTCCCTGGGTATCACAGAGAACAAGGCTCTAGCTTAGAATGCTTGGTTGGTGGGTCGGGATGGGGGATGGTGGTTCTTTCTTGCTCATTTGACCCTAGGCAAACTTCATAAGTGGTCTGTCCAGATTTCAGTTTCTTGGGTGCAAAATGGACAATAAGGAATACAAATCTCATGGCAGTCAAGAACATTCAACTCACAAGTGCCATGGAATAGACAATTTAATCAAAGTGAGCTGTTAATAACATGGTTATTTTTGTTGTCCTTTATGCCTTATTCACTCTGTCTTTCATTTCCCCTCCTTCCTTCTCTCTCTAAGTTCTATATCCAATCCACATCTGCACCACTTCCCCTCTGAGTCCCTCTACATGACTGCCTTTCTCTTTGACTATTCCTGCTCTTGATCAGCATCCCCACATTTAAATTGGTCCCCTCTTCTGCCATCAACAATTGTCTCCTGTGATATCATAAGAAATATATATTTGAGTCTTCATCCCTTGCTCCTGTCCAGAGCTACTAAAACCCTTGAAACATCTTTTTACTTTTATTACTTATATAGCAAGTAATAAAAGTGAAAAGAGCACTTCCTGTTATTCATAACAAGCTCCTCTCAACCAACCCTGAGTTTATGTTAAGGTAACCTTTGGAAAGCCTCTAAGGATGGGGCTCACAAATCTGCAGAGAATTGGAGAACTGCTTGGTGTGGGGAGATCCTCCACATGTTTGGTGTCAGAAGTGTTGAGATTGTGAGGGTACAGATACAACAGGAGCTTTTCTTCCCCTAAGGCTCTCCTCTTTGATGTTGACCATGGGCCATGGGCTGTGGTTCTTAACACTTCAAAGCTTCATACTGACCTCCTACAGGGACCTTTCTAGATCACAATTACTTCTAGGTAGTAGGCATCTGTAAGTCTGGCCTACTGACACACTTGGCTCTGATTCCCTCATGGTTATTTAGCCAATGATGTCTTGTCATGGTCACTTCTCCAGGACCCTACATCTGGTTAGGAGCTCATGTAACTCCCTCCTTGACTTCTCCAAGGTCCTTCCGTGTGTCTTCCCTGATTCACAGTCTCCCCTCAGAACCTTGGGCCCTCCCTCATCTCCTTTTCCTCTCAGCAGATAAAAAAACAGTTTCTATTCTGTCATTTTTACCTCGTTTAAGACTTAGTTGGATGTCAGGCCTCTCTCTGTTTTCTTTTCCATCACTTTCTTGGAAACATAACATGCCTTGGATTGCTGAAGAGCAGGAGAGAGAAGAAAGCAATTAAAGATCTGTGAGAACCAGGGCCAACATCAGGAAACTGGCTTTTAGGAATTTCCAGCCTTTGGGTAACTGAGAGCTCAGAGGGTTACACATGACTTAAACTTCTCCCATCATCTTCTGGGACAGCGAAGGGATAACCTCAATAATGAGCTTTTATGTGTCCTACACAGAAAAGGAACACTCAAGACTTAAGGATAAAGGAGAAATGGAAACATTGTAAGTTTTGTTACCCCCAAAATTGTCAGATGGCAGGGTAGGCATATATCAAGTGTAAGGAAGAAACCAAGGGATTCCCTGGAAAGATGGTCTCAGGTCCTAGAGAGACTCCATTGTAAAAGAGAAAACTGGTCAGGTGCAATGGCTCACACTTGTAATCAGAAAATTGTGGGAGGCCGATGCAGGAGCATCACCTGAGCTTAGGATTTTGAGAGCAGCCTGGACCACATAACAAGGTCTTATGTCTGAAAAAAATTAGCAAAAGTAGCCAGATGTGGTTGTGTGCACATGTGGTCCCAGTTACTTGGAAGGCTGAAGTGGGAGGACTGCTTGAGCCCAGGAAGTCAAGGTTGTAGTGAGCAGAGATAGCTCACTAGCCTGCCATCCAGTCTGGACAACAGAATGAGACCCTATCTTCAAAAACATAAATAAATTAAAGAGAAAACCCCAACAGCTAAAAATGGGGCTAGAAAACAGGAGAATGTTGGCTTAATTGGGTCAGAGAGGATGAATAGTTCCCAAATAAACATTACGGAGGACACAGGGGCAGCTTGTATGGTCTTCAGGGTCTGAGAATCAGCAGTATCTCCCTGAGGGTGGGTGGGCTGCTACGCTGGGTGGAGCAGTGCCCAGTGCTGCCCCAGGCAGGCAACAGTGAGCCTCAGTGCAGGTTACCCAAGCATAAGGAGTGCCAGAAACTAACACATGAGTTGTGGGCACTGAGGATAGGAAGAGGGATCCCCGAAGTCCATGGAGAGGAACAGAGCCTCTGAGAATATAGGCAGTGAAGGTAGCACCATTCCCTCATCCCTACAGCCTGGACCATCCTGGCTACAAACATAACATTGACTTGAAATTCATACCTAGGTATTTGATTTCATTTTATTCACTTTCCGACTTGTGACAAAAATTATTTTATTTTAAATCTAGATAATGTTAGTATTGACACAAATCAATAAACCATACCATATATAACAGCTTAAACTTTTTTCTTGTTTATAAATCTGTAGTATTTCTTTATTGCCTAGTAAATAGACTTGAAATTCCTTAGCTCTGGATTCCAGACCATTCAATATCTTCCAATTATCTCTCTTAAGCCTCCTCCTGTACTGCTTCTCACACTCAGATTTTACCAAATCCAGTTTGTCCTGCTTTGCAAACATGCTTTCACACTTATATTCCAATTCCCATAGCATCCAACCTCTTCTGGGTGCATTTTTCTAGTAATGTCTCTATCTCTTGTTTGGGGAACTTAGTTGAGATCAATCTGTGAGGGGAATACATGTTTTCCTGGCAAGTAAAATACAATAGAGGGCATCTTCTTTACTGTGTACCACTATAATAGTATAAATTATGCCTTCTCAGGAAAAAGCCAAGAATCAAACTTTTAGTTTGGTATAGCACCAAAAAATCGTCCATGTGAGAACAATCAGTTTTGTGATTATTTGATTAATGTTTCTTTTTCCCCTTGTGTGTAAAGGGTTATCAAAACCATCTATCCTTCACTAAAGGCAAAATAGACCCAAGGTTAATTTTCTTGCTGATTATTCTGGAAACCTAATAAAGGTAGACTTTTCCTGCTGTTACTGGGCAAACCCTGGGCTTAGAAATGACCCATGACTGTTTGGCTGGAACTACACATGAACTACAAATACCTGTGAGGAAGGAATGATTGTGTTCTTCCTTTAATTGATAACTCTTGTAACTCAGGTTGTCCCTGTGGCACCCTGAAAGCTATGACTATGGAGTTGTTACAAGAGATACAGACTCCCGCAGGCATGTGGTGCTAAGTAAAAGTGGATCCTGCACCCACAGCTAAGCTGTCACTCAAGGCAGATAGTAGTCAATTTGCTGGACTGCTGTGTAGACCACTGCAAGGATGCCCACTAAAGAGAAGACGCAACTGATGCTGCCCCATTGGGGTCCTGTGTTTCTTATCTTCTAAGTAAATCTGATACCAGTACGGCTCTGGATGTCCTGTGAGTCTATGTGGCTAGTTATGCTCACCTCCATGAGTATGTTTTGCCATAGCCAAATACCATGAGCTTTGAGAAGGCTCGTGACACGTCTGTTGTGTTAACTACTGTATCCCTACTTGTCCAACACAATGTGTTACACATGGTAGGAGCTCAACATAAGCTTACTGAAAAAGTTGGCCCGGGAACTCGAAAGGTAGATAATGAACCTAATTACCATTTTTGAAGCTTTCATAAATGTGAATTAAATCGGGGTATTCATGCATGTTGACATTGCTGAACAGCGCTTCCAGAACTGACAGGTTAAATGTCTTCTCCAGTTCACTCAGAACATTGTACACCACTTTTTGTATGGGAACCAGGTTTCTACAAGAATCTTGAGAATCCTTTAAAAATAGCGAATGGAGAAAATACAAATACACATTTTTAAGTTACAGAAGAGCCATAGAAAGAAATTTTATGGTCACTGAATTTCAATTTATCTTCAGAGGTACATTCGCATGTAAAGTTTTCTAACTTTTATGTATTTCAATAGCCAGTAATGAAAAAAGTACATCCTTACTCTTAAAAAATATCCACTGATGAGTCTGATCTCCTCATACTGATTTACATTAGATACAAAAAGGAACAATTTTGAAGGATAACAGTGAGCTCAATGTCCTTTAACAGCCTGACTGATACATTTTTGGGATAGACGTAGCAGGCAATCAATGAGTGGCTGTTCTGTTGACTGGACAACCCCTGCTCTTCCCCCAAGACTGATCTGGCCTGAAGGGCTCAAGGAAACCAGGTACCATTCATCCCTTGCTGTGAACTTGGCCACGGAGGAAGTTTATTCATAGCCAGAGAAGACTCACTGCTCTGTATCTCCAACAGGGCCTATGGGTGGAATTTACCCATATTCCAAGACCCCAGAAATGCACCAAAAAAAAAAAAAAAAGAAAAGAAAAAGAAAAGAAAAGAGAGAAAGAAAACAAACGTGTTGGAGAAAGAATAACAAGCATCTATTCCCAAATTTGTCCACTTTAGATACCAGTTCCCTGTGGGTTTTAATGGTCTCAGATCTAGGTATTTTAAATTGATGTTAATTGAAATAAAATGCTCTGTCAATTACTATTTCAGTAAACAAACTCATCAAAATTATTTTTAAATTTTAGTTTATGTTATAGTGTATGAATTCTATAAAACATTGTACATTTATGGAGAATACCTGTTTCTGTTCTAGTTTCTCCAGAGCCATTCACCCCAACTCCAGAGAGCACCATGGAACACCATTCCCTCAGCTGGGAGCAGGACCATCTCCAGTGATCTCTGATTATCCTCTTTTTTCTACTTTACAGGAGCACTTACAGAAATGCTTAAAAAATATGAAAGCATATCTGCCAGGTTGTGACATAATAAACTTTACTTACTTCAAACATTTTATCTGTAATGAGTTCACGATCATGGAGGCCCTCAAGGAATGGAAATGTCTTTTTTATTGCATTTGAAATCTCCAGCTTATATCTTTTGAAGTGCTTGAATAGAGTGTCATAGAGAAGCCCCTCATCTACATCCTGGTCTTCCATGAACATCCTAGGAAAAAAGGACACCATGTGAAAATGGTCATCAAGATTCTGAGATGTTTGTGGAGATTGTAAGATGAATCTAAATAAAATCTAACCTTGAAAATGTATCTTAACAACTGAGAGAAAAGAAATCTGATGAAATAAAAATAAGATGTCCCTCTCTAGTCTATAGCTTTAAGAAGGAAATACCATCATGTATCATAAAATTAATTCATAAATAATACAGTGTGGTTTAATAATGCTAACAATACCACATTATTGAGAATTTCATGAGAATATCAGTGACACCTCCTGGAACATTTGGTTCTGCTTTGTGTTAATATAAATTTGTCTATACTATTGTTATATATACAGTTAATCATTTTAGGCATCTGAATTTCAGAAATTGCTGCTGTTTCCTGTTAAAGCAATTTTAAAGCTGAGTCTCTAATTTCAGCTCTTAGTTGATCATGTTATTGCTTTGATAATGTTTTAATCAACATCTCAGTATTCCTAAATGTTATGAAAACTTAGGAGCTTTTTTTATCCAACCAGAAGAGAATTATTGGCACTTCCCAGTAGGCAACACGAAGCAGGACAAAATAATGTCACATTATTATGTTGAATTCCTGTAAAAAAAAAAAGAGGTTTCTGGTTAAAGATCAGTAAAATGTTAACAAAGGAATTAGATTCACAACGACAAGAGAATGGTGGAGGACAGTGAGCACATAAGAGATTTCAAATAAGATCTTGAAGACAGAAAGTGGTCAGAAAAGTGCTAGTTGCAATCAATAGTAGGTAGGGGATGCTCCCGGGGTTAGGAAAACAATCTTGGTGCCCTACAGAATTTGGAATAAACAGTGGAGATTTGAAGGGAGACACACAGCTAAAAACTGATTTGTTATTTGAAAAATGAACAAAGCAATGCATACACAGCCTGTCAATCTGCATACCGACCACCTGCAGCCAGGTAACCTCTGAGGGGCAACCACTGCTGTCATTTCTTCTGTCATATGTTAATACTGTCTGCTGTTGGATTTCATATAAATGGGTGAAATATATACATGTTTTTGTGTCTGCCTTCTTTTGCTTATTATCCATATTACTGTATTGAACAGTAGTTTGTTCATTTTTATTGTTGAGTGGTATTCCACTGTGTGAATCTACCACAATCTGCTTACTCATTTTTCTGTTGATGGACATTGGAGTGGATTCCAGTTTGAGACTAGTATAAATAAAACTGCCACTCTTGTGCAAGTCTTTTTGTGGAAGATGTTTGCATTTCTCTTGGGTAACTATGTAGGAGTGGAATTACTGGGTCATTGTGTAAGAGTACATTTAACCATTCCAGAACCTGCCAAACTGTTTTTCAAAGACTACTTTTCGAGTTTTAGCTATTCAAGTGTGCACAATGTGATATCTCATTTTAGTTTTAATTTGTATTTCTTTAATGATGAAATTATGTCAAGCACAGTTCCATGTGTTTACTGGCAATTTATTCATTTTTTTGGTGAAAAATGTTCAAATGTTTGGCCCATTTATATTACTAAATTTTCTTTTATTTATTAATGGGTAGGAGTTTTTTTAATAGATTACGGATAGAAGTATATTGTCTGATTTGTGTATTGTAAATATTTTCCCCTCAGTCTGTAGTTTCCCTTTTATTTTCTTAATTATGTCTTTTGATGGGAAGAAATCTTTAATTTTGATGAAGTCCAATTTATTTATTTATTTATTTATTTATTTATTTATTTTACGATTAATGACTTCAGTGTACTATCTACGAAGAATTTGCCACTCTAAGGTCATGAAAATATTCAAAAAGCAATTTACAATATAAGCATGGGTTTATATCTGTACTTCTCATGCCATAGCACTGATCTGTTTGTCTACCCTTATGCTGATACGATTTTGTCTTAAATATCATGGCTTAAAGAAAGTCTTGAAGTCAATTAGAAAAGCTTGTCTTGGACTTCCCAGATTCTTTGATTTGCCACATACCTTTCAAATCAACTTGTCAATTTCTGCAAGAAAAGCTTTCTGGATTTTTCTTGGGTTTGAATTGAAACTATAGATAAATATGGGGGAGCTGACAACAATATTGGCTTGCAATCTGTTAGCATCATATATTTCTCCATTTATTTAGATTAATTTTACCCAGCTGTGTTAATAGCTTTCAGCATAAAAATAAGCACAACTTTCATTAAAATGATTCCTATTTTATTCTCTCTGGTGCTACTTTAAATAATATTGCTTTTCAAATTCCTACCATTGTATGAAAATATAATCGGTTTGAAAAATATTAACCATATATTTATGGCATTGCTAGGGTCATGCACTAGTTCTAGTAAAGTATTTACAGATTTCCTTTATATTTTAAAGAAAATAATCATGTCATCAATGAATAAAAACAGATTCACTCTTTTTATCCCCAAATAACAATTATTTCTTTTTTTGGATCTTATTTCACTGGTCAGGAGTTTAAATACAATCTTGAAGAAAAGAAGTGAGAGACGACTCCCTTGCCTTATTTCCAATTTTAAGGAAAGAGCAACTAGGAAAGCACTAAATATGATGTTTGTTACACCTTTACACATATTCTTAGCTCTTTCCCTTTCTTTCTCTTTCTCTCTCTCCTCTTTTTCTTTCTTTCTTCCTTTCTTTCTCTCTCTTCCTTCCTTCCTTCCTCCCTCCCTTCCTTCCTATCTTCCTTCTCTTCCCTTCCTCTCTCTCTTCTCTTCCCCTCTCCTCCCCTCCCCTTCTCCTCTCCTTCCCCTTCCCTCCCCTTTCCTGCCTCTCTTCCTTCCCCTTTCTCTTCTCTTTTCCCTCCCCTCCCTTACCTCTCCCCTTGTCTTCCCTTTCCTTTCCATCTCTTCCCTTCCTTCTTTGAAGATTTCACTCTGCTGTCCAGGATGGAGTGCATCATAGCTCATGACAGCCTCACACTCCTGGGCTCAAGTAATAGTTCCACCTCAGCTTCCTCAATAGCTAGCACTACAGATGCATGTCACTATGTCCAGTTAATTTTTTATGTTATTTTTATATTTTGCAGACATAGGGTCTTGCTTTGTGGCCTAGGCTGGTCTTGAATACCTGGCTTCAAGTGATCCTCCCACCTTGGCCTCTCAAAGAGTTGGGATCACAGCTGTTAGCCACTGTGTTTTGCATTTCTACCTATTTCTAATTTGCTGAGAATTTTATCATGAACATATGCTGAATTTTATCAAATGCATCTACCAAGATATTCATATGACTTTCCTACCTATTTCTAATTTGCTAAGTTCCTACCTATTTCCAATATGCTGGGAATTTTATCATGAACAGATGTTAAATTTTATCAGATGCATTAATGAGATATTAATATGTTTTTCTTTATTTTTTATTTTATTTATTTTTTTATTGCATTTTAGGTTTTGGGGTACATGTGATGAACATGCAAGATTGTTGCATAGGTACACTAAATCACATTGGTTGCTTTCCAAAGCCTTCTCTTATGTAGAAACAAATAACCACAGATCAATAGACACTTGAGGAAATACTTCAATATTAGAAAGAAAGAATAGTATAAAAAAAAGAGAAAGAGAAAAAAGTTACCCCAGGAGAAACAGAGATATTGTGGGAGATGGGGGAAAATTCCAAATAGTAACTATTTGAATTAAAGCTTCAAATTATATCAACAAACTTAGAATGTTGAGCAGGGATGGTGATGAAAAACTGAGTTAAGAAATTTGTTTTAAGTATGGAAACAATATAGTGGAACAATATGGTTTCAGATTCAACTGTAAGAATTACAGAAATACAGATTAAACAATGAATTTGAAAAGTTGAAGGTAACTACTGATTAAGTAAAATCAGACATTATAAAACCTATGAAACACTGAAAATAAAAATAAAGAGCAAACATAGTTTGCATTTTTAGATAGATAAAACAAGAAAAACAGTGAATTGTAAAAGGCAAAACAGAAAAAAGATTGAAAAATTATAACACTGAATATGCATGAAAAAATGATACTGAAAGGCAATATTAATGATATTGAAAAGGCATCGTCAATATTGTTGATATTGATACTGATTGGAATCAAAGAGAGAATCCAACTGAACACACAGTGACACAAAATATGTTGAAATGAAAAATATGCAACTTATCGTATGCAACTTTAAGTAAAACAAAAAGCAGAACAGTTCCCATTAATGTCAACTCAAAATTCAAGAAACAAATAATGGGAAAAATGTTTTGTGAGCATTGCAAAACAATTCATCCCTAGTTTTTTACTCTTTCCATGTATCAAAAATTGACATAGTATACAGGTTCTACATAAATTAATAAGAAGGATTTATTATTTAATATTGTGACTTAAAAACAGAGGATCACATTATCAATATTTAGCATAATCTTGGCCACAAAAGTCTCAGCAAGTTACAATCAATAGAAGTGAAACAGATTGTATAATGAAAATAAATTTCTTAAGATTTTAGAAAACAAAGCACACTGTGTTGGGTAAAAGATGAAATAAAACTTGTAGCTACAGAGTATTTAGAAACAAAAAGAAAGAGAAAAATAATGACAATGAGATTAAATAAGAGAAAAAATAGTTCAATATTAGAAAATCTCTATAATTTTACATCAATAAATGAAAGGAGAGGTATTTAAATATATTCACAAATGGTTTTAACAGAGAATTTGGTAAGTCTTAACAGCTAAACTCTATGTGAAATAAAAACTAACATAACATGAACTCTCTAATATCAGCAAATGTTATAGTAAATATGAATGATGAAGTTATTTAAATAGAAAACAATATCAGAATGTCTACCATTTCCACCATTATACATATATACACATATATATGTGCATGTGTGCAGGTATGTGTACAAATATATATATATATATATATATATATATATATATATATATATACACGTACACATGCGCGTATTTTGGAAGCTTTACCTAATGTGATAGGCTACAAAAATAAAACAATTAGTATAAATACTAAAATAGGGTACACTATTATATGTTCTATAATT